AGTTGCTAGTGCACTTTCTGACATGTGATGTGCAAGGGTTCGGCGAAATGTAGAAATAATGTCAACTTCCGAGGCTTCCAGAAGCAGTACCATCTGATTCATACGAAGTGCTTCACTATTTGGCTCACGACATCTCGCGACAGCATCTTGAGGGCAACACCGGGTTGGCTCAGCAATCTGGTGCCCGGCTAACAGCACATGCTAGCGCCTATTCTGTGCATTGTCTTTTCTTGCTTTGGCTAGTGACTTGAGGTCTATATAAAGGTTCCCAAAATCCTGAACCCTGAAAAGTACCCGGTTTGCAAAGAGAAGCAAACCCACCAGCGCGGCTGAAAAAGGGGATCGTGGAGCAAATCCAAATTCCCAGAAAGAGCGACCGTGATTCGCAAAGCTCTGGAGGCCGTATATACTTCAACGAGGGACTGGTGGCAAAAAGCCCGCATGCTCCCCGAAACCCCAAACCCTGAAAGGAACGACTTGAGATTTAGGGGCGGCGAAAACGAAATCCGAGATGGCTGGTTGCCAAGTACTACTATGGAACATGATCGGCAAGAATTGGCACCCTTCCAGGATACAAAGAGATGTGGCAAACATTTCGTTGGGTTCAGTGATTCTCTCAGCAAGTAAGCGCAAGACGTACGGGCGGAAATAACAGTACAGCAAATTCGGCTTTGGCACGTCAGTGCCTTAGCGTACGTCCTGATCTGGGACATGGAACTGCACCGAAACATCAAGAATCGTTGTTGAATACCCGACATGCATGTGCATTGGGACTGCGAATGCAGCCAGGTTTGCTCACACATCGGTTTCCGCCCCCACTGCTCCACTCCCTTCGACCCAAGATGCCCGTGCGCTGCCAAGCTACTCGAACTCTGGCAGAACAGCCCGAAGCGTCGCAACATCAGCAGCAACCTTCGCAGAATGCAGGCTTCAGCCACGAAATCCTGAGACCCGAAGCCTAACATCGAAGGATGGAAGCCCAAGCCCGAACAAGAGGAGCCGCGGAGAAACGCTCATGTCTTGCAAGGTTATACCAACCGATTCCCACCAAGCATGATATGGAACAGTAGAGTCTACAGGAAGTATATGTTTCGGGTCGTGTGGGGCGAGTGTGTTGTAATCAATTAGAAGGTATAAGATGGTTAAAAGCGAGCCCCTGAAAACAGCCAAGCAGAGAACAGAGTATATAACAGTTCGCATATGAACGAGGATTTTTGCAATTTTCAGGCTGGAGGCTTGACGGAATTGAACAGGCATTTGCATGGCTCCTGGGTTTGCGGCAGGTTTGCCCGCATGCGGCATGTAAGACTCGAGCCGTTTCTGGCTTGTGCGTTCGGTTCGGAGTTCCGGGAACTTCGGCTCGAGGCTCGAGTTTCAACCTCCGACGTCCGGCAAGGAGGAGTCGTAGGATCCCGCTGCCCCGTTGCGCTTGAAGAACGCAGAACTCCTGAGTTCGGACCCCGCCTCGGCCATGGTCGCGTGGTCTCGAGAGCTTAGGACTAGATGTCCAAATGTTTGAGCTGGAGCCTAATGCCTTCGTCAATCACTTGAGCTTTCCTGGTCCTTCTTGAGATGGTACCAACTTCAATCTAAGATTCAGGGATGGCAACTTCGAGACCCAGACGCAGACCAAAACCTGCACCAAGGTTGCTGTCGCAAGGTCTGAGGTTTCGGCAAAAATACGTTGCTTTGACTTGAAGACCACCGGGTCCAGAGAGGCTCGCTGCATTTCTAAAGTGACGCCACCCTGCATTTTCGCCGGCTGCACTCTGCTGTCGCTTGACTGCACTGGCGTCTGGATTCAGACGGTATGGAGTTCAAGTAGACGAAAGAATCTTAAGGATTCGCAAACTTGTCGAACCAAATATGCTAGCGGAGATCTCTAAACAGTGAAAGTCCATACGACCAGGAGACCACCAAGAGACCATCAAGAGACCACCAATTAAGAGACACCCAGCACACCGCTCGGAGATCAGCAGGACACTGCAGATGCGCATTTCTTCAAGTACTTGCAGCTCAAGGACCAGCAAGAAAGTGGTTCCCCCGAAGTACTGGCTCCTTTTGGGAGCAGCCTTGCTTCCACCCCTTCGTTTGCGAGATCCACAGGAACACCCTATATCGCTTCCCCCAAGTACCACTGCGATAAAGGTTTTCGAGAGCAACAAGTGGTTCATGCCGTCTTATTCACAATGCATCACGCCTCCGGGGACCCGTAGCAAGCAGATTCGTCTGTAAATTATAGGACGCCAGCCAAAACCATGTACCGCACCACAGAGGGAGACCCGCGGCGCGAGCATCCTTCGCAAGTAATAGGATACGGGGACTGGATTTGCAGCATCTGCGGTTTTGAAAACGGACGCCGGGAACCTCGTTTCCGCCAGTGGCTCGCGGCACACTGTTAGGGGGAAATGAAGCAGTTGGAGGATGTTTACACAGGAGCACTCTCTCGAAAACACAGGCACGGGTTCTCGAACTCCTAAGACGGTGAAGCCCGGCTATT